TGCATAAAACAGTCATTAAATATATACAATAATTGTTGATTTTTTAAAAATTATTATTTTGGACATGATAAAGAAATAAATTTTAACTTAAGATTAATGATAAAAAATTTCTTACTTTTGCAGTGAAACTTATGAGTTATTTGTTTACCTTTTAATAGTTTCATTAAGAGGTATATTTGAATCGTTAAGAGGTGAATCTTGTTTGATAAAAAAAAAATTGTCTCTTAATAAATCTAAAACCATCTGAATGATTTTGTATATTGGGCATCCCTTAACTATTTCTGGTGCCCTAATTTCATTGTAAATAGTTAACAAACAATTATATTTCATTTTGCATTATATCATAAGATAGTCTTAATCATTTTACACCAAACCATTTAGTAACTGTCAAACAACTCATTAATTAATAAAGAGATGTGTGACTTTGCATAAGCAAAAAAAAGGCTCAAGTTTGATCCCCCTAACTTCAATCATTGTTTGAGTCAAAAACGTCCCTCATATTGATATCTTTAGAGGCTAGAGACGGACCCATTTTTTTTTCTTCAAACGGTGACACAATTTGACCATAAGAAAAAAAAGTACAGGGAAAATTTTTCAAACGGTAGATGACTATAGAAAACAAATATACGGATTTTTTTTTTCCAAATGGTGACACCATTTGACTAACAAAAGGACACTAACAGGAATTCGAACTTGGGTCTGGGGTAAAATAAAAGTCTTGCAAACCAACTTTACCAAATAAAACTTGTTCTCATTGTAGTTTCAAAATACATACGGTGACACACAACAAATTATTACGGTTGCACCGTTCACGAACCTAAATTTTTTACCTTTCGGCGGAGAAAAAACACGGTAGCACGTGCCACCTATACTACATAGCTGAATCCATCCCTGTAAGAGACGAGTTCCACATAAAAACAATTGAGGTTGTCGATAATCAAGTTCTTTTGCGGTTACGGATAATCCAAATTAAACTTTTAAAATTAAAAAGAAAAACAATAATAAAATGTGGTCCCATACTCCCATTATTCTTCTCATTTCTAATTTTATGAATAAAAAGGTTCCGTAACGCTGCTTGCCCTCCACTTTTTGATGTCATAATGACGTCATTAGTTACTTTACATCGCATAAAGCCACCTGTTCATAATAAATACTCCCATTCCCACCTATCTATTAATACATAGAAAAAAAAACCATACATAAAAAATTTAATAGTTTTAGAAAAATAATTTCCAAAATAATATAACTGAAATTTACCGAATTTATTTTATAGTTTTTGATTATTTATTAGTAAATAAATTTATTGTAAATTATATATTAAATTAAATTACGGTATAACTTTACTAGCAATTCATAATGTTCTTGTCTGAAAGTATATTTCGTACCAATTACTAAGCAGGTTTATAATTATTTTTTAATCTTTAAAAATATTTTATTAAAATGTGTTTTTATTCGATAAATAATTAAACTTTCTGTTTTTAGGACCAAGACAGTAAAACAATATAACAAAACTTAGGATGTTTATAATAAAGGGTCGTTTAACAAACACTTATCTGATAAGCGCTTATCGGTAAATTTAACACTATTGTTTACTTACTGGATAAGATTTTAATCCACCAAAACGGTATCGTATGCAACAATTTACCCGGTAAGCGCTTACCGTGGTAAGAGTCGTCGTTTCACTTACCGGGTAAGACTCTTGGTCCTTGTCTCGCTATTATCGGGTAAGATTATTGATCCTTACCATATTCATCAGGTAAGGTAAAATGGTTTGGTGTTCACTTACCCGAGTAAGCGTTTGGTAAACGGTCCATAAGTTTTATTAAATTTATTTATTTTATGGATTTTAACGTGAAGTTTAATTGACAAATAATTAGGGTGACTAGAGCGGACCCACATTGACAGATACGGTGGTACATGCGACCGCTTCATGATTTTGTCGTAAAGAAAAAAAAAATATGTTTATGAAACATGTCACTGTATTATTTTGTTGGGTGCCACCATAGAGTTTTTAAAACTGAAATGTTAATACGAATTTTAATGATTAAGATGGTAAATGATTTGTTCTTTGTACAAAAAGGCCCATATTTGATTCCACATTTGTAAAATTTGATGTCTTTTAGCTTAAACTTTGATTTTTTTTTTCATATGTGTAACGTCGCAAGCCAATCGTACCAGATATTGTCCGTTTTGTCCACACATGTATGATGAAGGATGTATCAAGTCCCTTATAAGACAACTTTTGTTCCATTTCCCAATCAACATGAAACCTTACAATCCACCCTTCTTGGAAGCCCAACGCCCTCGTTGGTATACCAGTCCGGTTCTCGACTCTGATACCATCTGTAACATCGCAGACCAATCGTATAAGATATTGTCTTATTTGTCCACACACCTAGACTCAAAATTCTAAAACGTGTATGATAGAGGAGCTATCAAGTCTCTTATAAGACAATTTTTGTTTTCCTTACCAACCAACGTTGGATCTTACAATACACATCTTGTGTATTTAAAAATATATGTAGGCCAAATTCGGACAAGGTCTATTCTATATAAAGATAAAGAACCAAATGATAGATCTATACAGATATTGTGAAAAAATTTAGATATATTTTTATAGTCAAATTATACCATGGATCAATTTTTTTAGATCTATCTCTGAAGATGACACGTTTAAGGTTTATTTGCAAAAAGAATATATATATATATATATATAAGAGCGTTCAAATGAAAATCTTCCCCATTTGTGTAAACCGTGTAAATCAATCTCATCCATCCATTTTATTGATCAATGGCCAAAATTAATTTACTTTATTTTAAGAAATTAAATATATATATATATATTAAAATTTTATTTTATTTCAATAGTAAGGGCAAAAATGGTAAACAAAATTTAACATTGATAACATCCTTCTAGTTATATTATTTTTAACTTTAAATCACATTAATCGATAAAACATATAAAAAAATGAATGTAACACACCATATTCAATTATATGGAGTGAATCGTTTTAAATTTTGAATTACATTATATGAACGAAATTSGTTTCACCATGAAAATGTTTCGGTTCACATAATTTATTTGCAACAAGACCCGGTTTCACGTTTATGAAATCTGTTTCATTTTTTTTCATAATTTATTTTCAAAATGCACCGGTTTCATTTTCCATTTCAACAACAAAATGGATCAACTACACCATCAATGCAACGGTTTCACCATAAAAATGTTTTGGTTCACCTAATTTATTTGCAACATGAACCGGTTTGACGTTCATGAAACATGTTTTATTTTCCTTTTCATAATTGTTTTCAAAATGCTCCGGTTTCATTTTGCTTCTCATAAAAAAAAGATTAACTACATCATCAATGCAACGGGTTCACCATAAAAATGTTTCGGTTCACCTAATTTCTTTGCAACATGAACCGGTTTCACGTTTATGAAACTTGTTTCATTTTGTGGATTTCTTTTTGGTCATCTACATTTTGATGATTTCATTCTATAATTCAATTGTTTCATCAAGACACGTTTCCTAATTATAACTCATGACAATATATGAAATCCAAATTTTTAATATTTTAATATAATTAAATATTTAAATGTTACCATTTATATAATTTCTTTTATTACATTTCCTTAATTAAGATTTATTAACAACTTTCATATTTAATAGAAAATATTGTAAATGACCGAAATACATTTATTGATTAAATTTTAATAGAAAAAAATAAAATTTTCTATTTGTCGAAATTGGTTTACACGATATCTTAAAAATGCACGGTTTTCATTTGAACGTGCCCATATATATATACTAGAAGCGTACTCGCGCAATGCAGCGAGATACATCGTGTTTTTAATATTTTATTTTATTCTTTATCTCAGTCGATGTTATAATATGGCTTTATGTGATTTTGAGAAAGCGATGATGTTTTTATTTTTGAATAAAATATATGTTTGACGATATCATAAAAATTTGACAAAAATATATCGATATTAGTATCAAATTAACTATTTGAAATTCCTCATTTTTTGAGTAATTTTTTAATCCAATTTTTTTATAATTTAATTTATGTACAATAACGAAGTAATTTATATTTGGTTTAATAATATAATTTTTTATAAAGATAATAATTATTTATTTTGTTGTAACTCGATAATTATTCTAATTATATTTTAGATTTTTTATATTTTAAAATGAGATGTTCATTCTCTATTTGATTATGTTTATCCACAATTATTTATATGAATTCAAACATCGAGCTTTAATAAGTTGTACTTATGCATAATTACTTGTCTATTCTCTACTTGTAATCTTGAGTTTTAAGTAATATGCATTAATAAACAGTAGTTTACGTATAAAAAGTAGTTTTTAAGAGTTTTTGTCAAATGCTTTATAATATAGTATAGATTATTTTTTTTAATTTAATTTAAGTTTAATAATGAAATAATTTATTTTTGGTTTAATAATATATCATTTTATAAAGATAATAATTAAGTATTCTCTTAGAACTCAATGATTATCCTAATTATATTTTAGATTTTTTATATTTAAAATGAGATGTTTATCTTGTATTTGATTGTGTTTATCTGCAGTTAGTTACACGAATTCAGTTATGGAATGAAATCGGATAGTGATGAAATTGTTTAGGGATGAACGGGTTTAAGAGTTTAAGAGTTTTTAAGAGTTTTAGCCAAATGCTTTATAATATAGTATATATATATATATATATATATATATATATATATATAAATGAAGTTTCGAGAGGGGGAACAATAGATATAAAAACAATAATAGCGGATACATCATGTAACGAAATTCGTATTTTATGTAGTAGAAATATAAAAATAAAAATAAAAATAAAAATAAAAACAAAAAAGTTAACCCAACCTAAGACATAAAAAAAGAGTAAAACTTAACCATGGTTTGTTAGGTTAGCTTCACGCACTACACACCACCAAGAAAGGAGACAAACACAGGTTATAGAGAGAGAAAGTGGAAGTCTTTTTAGAGAGAGAAGAAATCAAGGCGTATATTAACATGTTTTCAGGGTTGTGTAACGGCGTTTTCCCATTTCCTGGATTCTAGTGAGAGAGAGGAAGAAGAAGAAGAAGGATTAAAACTACTGTGTGTTTTTAGAGAGAGGAACAAAAGAGGTTTTAAGCTCTACATCATCTAATCCGGATTCCCGATCTGTGTATTTTTGCAACGGAAGATTTGACGGTTTTAGGGTTTCATCAAAGCTGGTTAAATTACGCCATAAAAGTCTGATTTATTGCGAGGCTGTTGTTATCTATCTTCAGTTGATGCGTATAATGTGGAGGAATTCATGATTTCAGAGGTTTAATTTTGGCGATTTGTGTTTTACAAGACTTTCTGCTGTTGCAGCTTTTCAATTTAGTAATTTTTTGTTGTCATGGAGAATCGAGGGTCAACATTTCTCTCACCTGAAGGTGAAATTCTTTCACAATTTCCTGGGGTTTTCTGTGTGTATGCTACAAATTATATACATATACTGTTTTTTCCCAATTAAATTCAGTATTGATGTAGATTTTATATCTATAAGCTAATCTATGCTAAAAATAATAATTATTTCCGGTTCTTTGTTGTTCTTGTTACGATTGACTGTTGATGCAAATTTTTCCTTTTCATTTTGATTTTATGAAGATCTGCTGTATAAGGAGCTATGGAAGGCATGTGCAGGACCACTTGTGGATGTTCCAAGAGATGGAGAGAGTGTTTTCTACTTTCCTCAAGGTCACATGGAACAAGTAAGCAAAAAATTACTTATTCTTAGCTTCGAAATCAGATCTCTGTTTGTTTAAGTTTTTCCTTATATGTAAGTTATGTTTTGTTGATTTATAATGGTTTTATTTTTCTATAATTGGGTTTTTTAATTTTCTTTCTTCATGCTATTTGTGGGTTTTATTCAGTTAGAGGCATCAACAAATCAGGAACTAAATCAGAGGATTCCTCTCTTCAGTCTCAAATCAAAGATCCTTTGTCGTGTTGTCCATACTCAGCTACTGGTATGTACTATGGTGTTCTTACAATATTTATTTTTGGATCAATTGAGGTTTTAAATTTGGGTTATATTTTTAATTGCTGAAAAAGTGGAAGCAATTTAAGTTTTGATGTGTTGTATTTGGTGGGTTAGAATGATAGATTCTTGTGTTGAAATTCTATTTTCTGCCTTTGTAGGCTGAACAAGACACGGATGAAGTTTATGCTCAAATCACTTTACTGCCTGAGCAAGATGTAAGAATTTACTTACAGTTTACTGGATTTCTCGAAATTTATGCTTTTCTTTGCTATTTGTGAAAAGATCTTTATGTATATGGTTTTCTAACTTTTCTGTAACAATATGTAGCAAAGTGATCCTACAAGTCCTGATGAATGCTTAGCTGAGCCTGTGAGGCCAACCGTACACTCTTTCTGCAAAGTCTTGACAGCTTCAGATACGAGCACTCATGGTGGGTTTTCGGTGCTCCGGAAGCATGCAAATGAGTGTCTACCGGGATTGGTAAAGTTTCTTGTCCTTCTATAATCTCTGCCCTTTCTTTTAGTTGATGATCTTTAATGTTCTGATTTACTGAATTTTTATTTTCAGGACATGACTCAAGCTACTCCTACTCAGGAGTTGGTAGCAAAAGATCTCCATGGCGTTGAGTGGCGATTTAAGCATATTTTTAGAGGTCACCTTATTTTTATGCTTTTGTATTGTTGACTTACTCTTGCTACTGAAAATCATAACCGGAAAACTAGATATTTTTGTTGCTTTTCATTGCTTAAATCATTGCCATATTCTATATTTTCTGAAAGCAGATTCTCTTTGATGAAGCAGGTCAACCACGAAGGCATCTGCTTACAACAGGATGGAGCACTTTTGTAACTTCTAAGAGATTAGTGGCTGGGGATTCATTTGTATTTCTTAGGTATTGCTTTCTGTTCTTGGTTTTGGTCTTGTGCACTTTCTTGTATCCCTGTTCTGGCTTGCATTTCTTAAGTCATCTGTGTGGCTACTGGGTTGTAATTTGTATACTTACACTACATTTTGTCTATAATATCTGGTTATAGGGGGGAGAATGGTGAATTACGTGTTGGAGTTAGACGACTAGCTCGTCAACACAGCTCCATGCCATCTTCAGTAATTTCAAGCCAGAGCATGCATCTTGGAGTGCTTGCAACTGCATCACATGCTGTTTCAACCCAAACCCGGTTTGCGGTTTACTACAAGCCAAGGTATGATACCCTGGTTGCTTTAAAGAAGGCGGATCTTGACTCTGTGAACTTTCTAGACTACCAATGGGTTTTTTCTTACAATATGTGGTTGCTGAATTTTTTTTCAGGACAAGTCAGTTCATCATAGGCTTAAACAAGTATATAGAAGCTGTAAACAATGGGTTTACTGTCGGCATGAGATTTAAGATGCGGTTTGAGGGTGAGGATTCTCCTGAAAGAAGGTATAAAATGATTTATTGTAAAAACTACGAATATTGAAGTTTCTACATTTGGATGCTAATCGATTAGAGTTTTTTCATTTGATTAGGTTTACTGGTACAATTGTTGGAGTTGAAGACATGTCTCCTCAGTGGGAATGCTCTAAATGGCGCTCGTTAAAGGTTAATATATGCTTGATTTTTTTTAGATGTGCAATTACCACAAGAACTCTGTAAACTGAAAGGTCATGCCTTTTCTTAACCATCCAGGTCCAGTGGGATGAACCTGCATCTATTATGAGACCAGAAAGGGTTTCTCCATGGGAAATAGAAACTTTTGTAGCTCCTATTCCAACAAGTTTAGTTCAACCAGTGGCTCCTAAAAGTAAAAGGCCTAGACCTCATATGGAGATCCCTAACATTGGTGAGTTGAATGTTCTTAAACCTTGAGTAGCAGTTCTCCAACATGCATATTAACCTAGCCTTCTAATTTGTATTTTTGGGCTGCCCCTGTTTCAGAACCTGCATGTTCATCTGTATCAGCTGTCTGGAATCCTTCTCATGATTCTGTTCAGTTAAGTTGTACTCCTGAAGGACAAAGGGGTGACGATCGTAATTCCTGGCATCCCAAACAAACAGACAATAGTAACAATGGCTGTCTTCTAAGGACTCAAATGGAGGCTGGTTGGCTATCATCTTCCCCCATAAAAGCTTCTCGGAATATGTATGGAGATGAAACAGAAGATAGGAAAGGTCTCTCGGCTTGGTCTGTTCATTCTACTTACTCACCTCAGGAATCCATCAAACATACTAAAGATTCAATTCAGAGTTCCATTGACAAGAAGAAATCTGAAAATGTTTCAAGTTGTAGAATATTTGGTTTTGACTTAAAGATCCCTCCTAAAGGTGATATTACACCTGAGAAAGCAACCCTAACCCAATCAGATGTATTATTCCATTCCTCCATGGAAGGACAGGTGCCAAGTACATTATCAGACCAGAGGTCTGACCTTTCAAAGGATTGCAAAGAACAAGGGCAGTTGCAAGTATCCCCAAAGGAGGTTCAAAGCAAACAAAGCACTTGTGCCCGAAGTCGTACCAAGGTACATCCAATCTTTATCCTCAAGCTATTTGCTTTTTCTGACTTTTTGAATCGGATAATCACTATCTAGTAAACATCTAACATGGGTAATTATGAAAGGTTCAAATGCAAGGCATTGCAGTGGGACGTGCAGTGGACTTGACCGTGTTAAAAGGGTATGATGAGCTGATCGATGAACTAGAAGAGATGTTTGAGATCAAGGGAGAGCTTCGTCCTAGGAATGAATGGGAAATCGTATTCACTGATGATGAAGGAGATATGATGCTCATGGGTGATGATCCATGGCAGTAAGTTTCTTCAGCCATCATAAACAAATCCTATCTATTCATTTGTTAAAAACTGTGACTGATTGAAGTTCCATATGCAGGGAGTTCTGTAACATGGTTAAACGGATCTTGATCTGCTCGAGTCAAGATGTGAAGAAAATGAGGGCAGGAAGTAAGACTTCGATAGACAATGATGTGTCGGGTTTTAGTTTGGAAGCTGGTGAAAAATGATTTACAAGAGTGCTGTTTTTCTCCACGTACTCTCGCGTTGCTAGTTTCCGTGTTTCTTTGAAGTTGTTTCGGGTGTATGTCAGGTTTCACCTAGTCGTGAAAGGGTGCTCCGAAAGTGGATAAAGAGTGGAGGACTAAATTGGTGTTTTTATTAGAAAAAAAAAGACTGACCCGCTTGAAGATATATGATGACTACTACTACTACTACTACTATTAGGAATGAAGAAGATATGTGTATATTAGAGAGAGGTATTTGGATGTTTTTAATGCTCATCTTCAGTTTCTTTGTGATTTGTATGTATATATTGGTTATTGCAGGCTTTGACATTTAGCGAGTGAGTGGAAGAATTTGTCAATTTTCTTCTTTAAATTTATGTTTTTGTTGCTTTTGTTTTCAAGTAAACGTGGATATCCATCCCGCTATGCGAGCCGACTAATCCCAGGACGACTACTTGCTTTGCAGATAGTCCGGAGTCATCGTATTTGAACCTCCATGGCTATAAGAGGATTTTTATTCCTCGTTGGATTTGAACCTGGGACCACCTGGTACTTTACTTTTGACCCTTAGAACCAAGCTCAAACCAATCAGACACCGTCCTTGTGGTTATATGTGATCATTTATATGCAAATTAAAGAATATGGATAGGTTTTATAGAGCATCTTCAATGGTACACCTTTTTAATTAATATATGAAGAAATTTGATAAAAAAAAAGTAGTGCAGGGAGTGTTATTTAAGATAAGGTGCTTATATTGGTTAAAGAATATACACAGAGTACTTTGAAGATAACACTTATATGGCAAAAAACCAAACTCAAACCAACATTACCTAGAAAATACTTGCAGGCAACCTAAGGAGGTTCTTTCAGACAACTGCATCCCTAACCAACATTCTTCGATTCGAGATATGATTCATAACGAGACATATTCCGCCATTTATCCTTCAAATCGACCACGCTTCTCCCCACGAATATATCAGGGTACATAGTTAAGATCAATTTCCAGTTCCCTTTACCATATTTCTTCACACCAATCCACAAAGCATTCTCCTCTTCAAAACCCCACGCTCGTTTCGGTCTCCTCTTCAAAAGACCCTTGATCAAACTGGATTCGTTTCTCTCGCCTTCTTGTTGCTCGTTTTGAACCTTTCCAACGCCATCCGTCACTTCCTTTATAACATCACCACTTAGTTTCTCGGCCGCCAACTCAAGAAACGAAGGACCCATCTTTTCTTTAGCCTCGACTACATACAATCGAACCATTTCCACAACATCTTTACATTTGATATACTTCATCACTGAGACATTTTTACAAACACTTGTTGGGTCCCAAACCCCAGCCTTCATATTGCACATCCAGTTCTTCAATTCTTCTGAAATCCACTCCATCCCAGATGATGCAGCAACTGGCATGTCAAAGAACTTCTCCATTTGCAGAGCTCTATCCTTCCAAATCATCTTCACAACATCAGAATACTTCTCCTTTTTAGTGATATTGCCTCGTAATAACCTCAAAGCGCAATGGACTGCCACAGCACAGTATGCTGTTTTCATGGTTTCCGGAACCTCCACCACCCCTTCTTTCTGATCCAATTCTTGAATCGTTTCAAGTAATTCAAGAACTGGTTCGGAGACTGTACCTTTTAATATATCGGACTCGATTTTTCTCAAGAGCAAACTCTTCTTCAGACTAAGATTATGATCTGGAAGGGGAAGAACACGAATTAGTTCATCTAATGTGTGATCATCCACCGAAGTTTGTCGAAGCAAGAATTCCAGAATCCAACCAGATACATCAATGTCCATTGATAACTGCAGATTATAGTTCCCAAGCCACTCCAAGAACTACAAAAGATGTCGAATTTTGCATTGAATTCTTCTAAAACCCTTAAACGGAGGTTCGTCGATTGAGATAAGGAACTTGCCAAAGTTCTAACACATTTAATGAACTTACAAATTCAGATTCTGCCCTTGAATTATCCTTCCATGATCGTTTGTCGGGAACCCATTTGCAGAACAAGTCGCTCCAATTTTGAAAACCTAACTGGATGTTCAGAATTCGCGAAGGTGTAGAAATTTACACTGAACTAAAACATGAAAATTAATGGATTACAGAATCGTAATGAATATGAAAATATACGAAATTTACCTGGTTAACCTACTGTTTCCAACTTCCGTTTCCTTCTATTCTAAGCTTAATTTGGTACTCCATTAACGATGTCTGAAAGAGGGAGGATTATGCTTAAAAAGTTAAAAACGAATTGCCGATAAAAGAAAACCAATGGGCCATGAATAATTTTAATGGGCCAGAACCGGTTTAAAAAGATGTGGTTAGAAGCCCAAATTTAAAAATTTTAGACATGTAATTGTAAGCCCATTAGAAAGACCAAAGACCCAGAGGGCATTCATTGTGCATTTTTAGAATCCGAGACGTTTGAAGAATCTTTTTCATTCTTTAGTTATGTATGAAAAGATAGAAATAAAATGACGATAATTTTAGATATTCACTTAAATCTTGTTAGGTACAAGTGTTTTTTTTATATTAACCTGGATATCTAACCTGCTATGCGATCCGAATAATCTTAGGGCGATCATCTGCTTTCCAGATAACCCAGAGTCACCGCATTTAAACCTCCGTGGCCACAAGAGAATTTTTATTCCTCCTTGGATTTGAACCTGGGACCTCCTGATACTTTTGACCTTTGGATCCAAGCTCAAACCAATCAGGCACCACCCTTGTGGTTAGGTGTTTTTCTGTTAATATTCAAGCCTTTTTATTTTGGGGGTGTATATGATACATGGGCTCCAGAAATAGGAGATGTAAGAAAAATCACTAACGTGACCCTTAGTCTAGATATCAAATTTGATTATTTACTGAAATTGCCCCTTGTGGGGAAGGATGGATTGCTAGTATAGACGATTAGAAAAATATAATTGACAACCATGTTTGATTAAGTTCCATTTTATATTTGGATCCAACTGATATATACATAACAAATATATTGAATATTATTAGGAAATTAGTTTTAAGATAGCAAATTCAATTTTTTTTAATATAAGAGGTTAAGTATTTGAATACATTTAAGGGTCATTTACCAATGCTTATCCGAGTAAATGCTTACCGGTAAAATTCAACACTATCAATTACTTAGCAGTAAGATTTTAGTCCATCAAAACGATATCGTATGCAACAATTTACCCGGTAAGTGCTAACCGTAATAAGGGTCGTCGTCATCACTTATTGAGTAATACTTTCAGTCTTTGTCTTCATTCTTACCGGGTAAGATTTTTGGTCCTTGCCATATTGATTCGGTAAGGTAATAGAACTTGATAAACGCTTACCAAGTAATCGTTTGGTAAACAACCCTTTAGTCAAGTTTTAAACCATGTGGTTCAAAATTTAAGATAGATGTTTAAAAACATTCACAAGCAAAATTATTTTACAGTTGTGTTGGTTCCGACATCAAAAAAACAGAAACAACATGCGATCTTGGAAATAAATCTATCAAATCTAACGATGTCCTAGAATTGGCACAACGCACTGAAGGATCTCGGTGTGAAGAAAATACCAGATGGGGCTTGGAGGTACATAATTTTCTCAACATTCAAAACATGCCAGACCCAGTACAACAAATCAGGTTTATATGATGCAAAATATGTCTAAATGTCATAATCGACTGTTTATAAAACTCAAGTATATGATTAGTTGATAGGACGTCTTTGGGCGTCCTAAAAAGTTTTTTAAATCATCTTTGATATAAAGTGTTCTATTAGTTATTTTATATGACACTTGATAAGTTGCAGATGGGGTTTAGATGTGGTTCGCTGGCTGAGGATATGTACACAAGCTTCAAACTGCAATGCCAAGGATGGACGTCGGTTTTCTGTGATCCAAAAAAAGCAACATTCTTAGGGAACTCACCGATGTGCCTCCATGATATCTTAAACCAATCGAAGAGATGGTTTGTAGGTTTCCTCGAAATGGTATTCTCCAAAAACAACGCGATATGGTTTGGATTTAGGTTTATGAATCCTCTCCATGAGCTATGCTACGCTCATTACAACGCTTGCCCTTTTTGGGCTATTCCAATCGTTATATACGCCTTTTTACCGCAGTTAGCACTAGTAAACTCTTCCTCGATATTCCCAAAGGTGCGTAAACATATTCAATCTCTTTTCACTGCAATAAAACTGGTTTTATGGGGAGTCAAATAGATGTCTAAATATCCTAATAAACTGTTTTATAAGACTAAACAATTGTGCGTCATATATAAAACAATAAGTTAATATGACAATTTTGTACTACCTAATAATTTTTTATGACACTTTTAAAATTACACGTTTATTAGTACTTTTATATGACATTATTTGAAAAATATCTTATAAAAACAAATGTGTTTTTATAAGACATTTCTCAAAAGTGTCAAAAAAAGTCAACAAGAAAATTTAATTAAAAATGTTTTTAAAGACTTGTTAAAACGTCAAAAAACGTACGTCATATAAAACAATCTATTAAGATATTTGGTCATATAAATGACGTACTATAAAGCTGAAATTAAACGAAATTAAATTTGTTATCCTCAATGTTTTTGGCAAGATATCGAGACACGTTTTGTTGATCACTGATTTTATTAACGAATCTAAATTTGGTGTTACAGGTTTTGGTCCCATGGTTTTCCTTGTATGCGTTTCTTTTTATCGGAGCATATGCGAAAAATCTTCTTGAATATACAATGGTGGAATAACCAAAGAATGTGGTTGGTCTTCGGATGCTCAAGTTACCCTTTCGCAGTTGCCGATTGGGTGCTTAAATCCCTTGGCATGTCAACAACTGAATTCAATGTGGCGAGCAAGGTTTTGATCGATGATCTAAGGAAACGTTATCAAGCGGGTTTGTTTGAATTCGGGGTCGAATCACCGTTATTCTTAACGATTCCCATTGCAGCAGTTGTCAATTGGTTAGCTCTGGTAACGGGAATCATCCAAGTTTTCAAGACTGGAAGATTTGAGGAATTATTTGCACAATTGTTCATAGCTGGATTTGCAGTGATTAATAGTTGGCCAATTTATGAAGCAATGGTGTTGAGGAGTGACAAAGGGAAGATGCCGGTGAAAGCAATTGGGGTTTCTTTGGTTATTTACTCCCTTTTCTCTTCGGCATTTTGACAAACGGTTTGAATGCATCCTTTTGTCTTGTTAAATTTGGAATCCTGTACGCGTTCATTAGCTTTGGTTACAAATTGATGAATTCAAATTCGTTTTATGTGGATAAATTTTGAATATTATATTCAATATAATCTCCCGATTAAACGCATTTTAGTCCCTATGAAATTATTTTTAGGATGCCACTTCTATTTATGTTTGACTTTGTTATTTTGAATTATAAAGCAATATTTATTTATACTGATTAAATATCATGTTGACCTTCAACTCACCTAAACGTTAGGGATGCTGATTTGCTCCGATCCGGTGGGGAACCCGACTCACCTGACCCGAACTGGGTTCGGGGACGGAGATTCACCGCTAAAACGGGTCCCGGTACTGGGATCCGCGGTAGACTCAAACTGGGGTTGGGGTCGGGGCCGGGTAGCGTATTCCCCACCCCGCCTGTACCCGGTATATAACTTTATTAATATATTTTATATAATATATGTATATTACATATATATTATTTATTTATTTTTTAAAATTAGGTCTTGATCGGAGACGAAGATTGGGGTTTGACCAGAAAATAAACCGGGGACAGATATTTATCTCCGTACCTGCCGAGGACCGGGGCCGGGGGCTGTTCATAGAAACCGGGGCCGGAGATTAGGAAACTCGCCTCATCTCCGCCCTGTTGCCATGCCTATTAAACTTAGATTAGAAAACTCGCCTCATCCGCGCCCCGTTGAAAAAAAAAATAGACTTGTTTGTGTATCTGTGCAATGTAATGATGCATAAAGAAAATTTGAAATTTATGAATTATTTTTCCTTATTATTGAGTTCAAATCTTATCATATATTTTAACATGTTTATCTGTTGGTTATCGATCACGTTGTATACTTGAATTGTAAAATAATTAATAAAAATGATACGAGTGAATCGATTTCTCTGTATCCAAATTAATATCAATCCAAACCATTTCATTATTAAAATGTGACCATTTCTCAAATTTGCTCCCATTTCGAGTCTAAAGATAGATAAATATTCTACTGAGACAAAGATGGGTTGTCCAGAACGTCAAGAAGAAATACCATTTTCTCATGAATTTATCTTAAATCGGAATTTTCTGGCTCAACTTTTTTATAAAGAAAAGTTCAAACAAAAATATGATCAAAATAAGAGTACACAAAAATAACCAAATTAAATATAATTTTACACTAAAATTTTAATAGATCTATTATACGTTTTTTTTTATAAAATATAATAAATATAAAATAAAATTGGAAGCACATGGCATGGGATAAAGATATGTTGATGCTGTGGGCCCTGGACCATTATTGATAATTTGATATTGTGGTGCCACAAAAATATTTATTAGACGGGTATTTATATAATGTAATAAAATATATCTTGATTTTAATATTTTATTTTATTTTTAATTTTTGTCGATGTTATAATGTAAATTTATGTGGTTTTGACTTTTGAGTAAATAATAATGTTTTTGTTAATAAAATATAAATTTGAAAATATCATAAAAGTTTAAAAATATATAATTTTTTTCATTTTTTGTGTAATTTCTTTAATTCAATTTTTTTATTATAATTTAATTTATGTTTAATGACAAAGTAATTTATTTTTGGTTTAATAATATATTTTTTATGAAGATAATAACTAAATATTTATCTATAATTAGTTACACGAATTCAAACATGGAGCTTAATAAGTTGTACTTATGCACAATTTACTTGTAATCTTGAATTTTAAGTAATATGTATCAATAAGCAGTACTTCATGTATAAAAGATGGCTTTTAAGAGTTTTTGTCAAATACTTTATAATATAATATACATTATTTATGACTTTGGGTAAGTTATCAATCGAGTTTAACATATTTTTCTTCTCCTACGAGCTTAATATAGTAATCCAAATATGTTTTTACGGGTTTCATATCTTTCCCATACCTGTCATATAAACGAGCCGGGTTTTGACAGCATGCCTAAAAATATACATAAAAAAAAACTTATATAAAATGGTTAGTATATAAAATTATTCAAAATACACAAATTTATTTGACTAAAAAACGTAAAATATACTGATGTACGTGGAGAGAGCGAAATATTTTTCACAAAATATGGAGTACGGACATTTGCTCTCCAAGGATATTTAGCCTTCGAAGTTCGAATTTTTTTAACAACAAAACATTTGATCACTTTATAATTCGAAAACCGAGATTTGAGACATATTGTATACATATCGCGTATAGTATTTAGAGATGGTTAATTGGTACTCAGTAGGAGTTCAACCCAAAATAACTTCTAAACTTTTTGTAATAAAATGTTAATTATTAAAATAATTAATTGATTATAACTATATAATGGGTTGGATGGGTTTGTCCAAAAAAAATCTCAATCCCTGACCCTGCCCATGCCCATTAATTTGAACTGTCTGTCCAAACACTGCCTATATATTTTTAAAAAGTCATATGAAATAATATATGATGTATTGGTTCTAAAAGATCTCACGAATTATAGAAATCTCAAAAGAAGCTCCTCCATATAACTTTTCATTTATGTGTTTCTTTGTTTTATGTTCGCTTTGTTTTATTCAAAACGTGGTATTTATATTAGGGATGCTTATGGGTTGTGTTGATCGGGTTAAGAATATTTAAACCATCTAGATAGATTCATACCTGAAAGAGGTTGACAATAAGTTATTTCAAAAAACCTAATGCTTGTGTTTTGAAATATTTAGGTTCGTTTTAAAATGATAGGTTAACATGTTACATGGTTATAGGAGCACAAAGCCTCAGAAAAATCTAACAAACCGATCAAATTCAATGCAAAAAGAATTTGAAACGGAGAACAATCCAAACCTAAGTAACCGGTGACGTTATTGATACATAAAATCATCAACCCACACTGTTTGGTTGGAGTTAGGTTAGAGTCTTGTTGCTTTAGATTTTCCACTGTCTAATTCTAAGGAGCCGTTTGGTTTGATAGAATAGTTTGGAGGGATTTGGATTTTTTAGAAGAATTTGGAATTGAAGGGATTTGACATCATGCCAGACGTCATGGCACGATATATATTTTAAATAACAAACTTTTATAAATTTATTTTATCACATCACTTAAAATATTACAAAATCATACACGTAACGAACTCACAATTAAAATAAAGTTAAAAAAATTATTATTCTAAATTCTACTATAAATATTTATTTAATCAAATATTATTTTTCTAACATGAATTTAAACTTTTTAACATTATTATCTTGTTAAATAATATATAAAAGACATACAAATTTATGGCACTATTTCATATCTGAATAAGGGGTTTTCTAACCCCACCTCCTCCTATACTCTTTCTCCCTACATTTTCTATACCCCCTCCTATATATTATTTTTCAGTTTTAATCTTTTGATATTTTCAGTTTTGACCCTTCAACTTTTATAATATTTTGTTATTATATTTTTTATGTTTTTAATTTTTAATATAGATTATAATTATATAAATTAATTAACTTTATATTATTATTAATTAATAAAATATTAATATTCTTTTAATAATTATATAATTAATTTAGATTATTATCTATATTATATTATAAAACATTTGACAAAAACTCTTAAAAACTATTTTTTATACATAAAATACTGTTTATTAATATATATCACTTAAAACTCAAGATTGCAAATAGATTATGCGTAAGTACAACTTATTAAAGCTCTATATCTGAATTCGTATAACTAACTGCAAATAAACATAATCAAATACATGATAAACATCTAATTTTAAATATAAAAAATCTAAAATATAAGTAGGATAATCATTAAGTTCTAACAAAATACTTAATATAACCCGAAACAACCCGATGTCTAATCGAGTTGTAAAATTTTCAAACCGTAGGTATTAGATTGATATTGGGTTACTATTATTTGAACCCAACTCAAAGTAGAAAATTATTTTAATGTAATAATGGTGTGAAAATAAATAATGTATCATAAATTAAATAAATAACTATAAGAGTATAAATCGTAAATATTAAAAATATTTTTTCATATTATATATAATATATAATAATATAATTAAGTCCAAAACTATTCAATATTGGACTTATTTCGAAGGTATTAACGAGACGATTATAACAGTGTAACTTRTTAARATGAACAAGATGAATAAATGGTATGAGAATGCTTCCTGAGAGGTTAATTTCTTTGTTAGATCTAATTTTAGTTAATATAAAATTATGTTTTTCAATGTGATAATGGTGTAAAACGAAAATTGAAAAAATAAATTATGTACTATAAATTAAATAAATAATTATAAAAGTATAAAATATAAATATTAAAAATATTTTTTCATATTATATATAATATATAATAATATAATTAATTCAAAAACTATTCGATATTGAACTCATTTCGAAAGTATTAACGAGACGATTATAATGATGTAATTTGTTAAAATAAAAATGTATTTTTTAAACATGTTATAATTGATATATAATTATGTGTGTTAATTTGATAAGGGTGTAAAATGAAAATTTTAAAAGGAAAGGATATAAAGTAAATTAATTATCTAATTACAGGGGTATAAAATGTAAATTTAAAATTAAAATTTTAAAAAATTGGGTGAATGTGAGGATGTGAGTGAGGGAAAGATGTGAGGAGGAGGGGGTGGGAAGTGACTAAGGGGTGGGGATATCAACCCCTGAATAAACACATCATGACATTGACACGTAAGGATTGATCGTGCGACCACCTCTCATCTCCCTCTATTTTGTACACAAATGCATTATGATTTTATAATCTATAAATATTGATGCTTAAAAGATCTTCAACACAATTCCAACCTTATCTCTGTCCAGTGCCAACCTTATACACCCATCTCTAATTCTCCATCATCAACCAATCTCAGTTTCACCATGCTTAAACCTTCGCTTCATCTCTGCAAACCCTCACCCGCAAGATTCCTCAATCGAGCCTTCATCTTCATCTATGGCATCGCCATTTTAGCCCTCTTTTATCGCCATTTTCTTAACCTAACCTACTCTCCTTCTTTAACCACCATCTCCCTTTTCATATCTGATGTCGTCCTTGCTTTCTTATGGGTAACATGGCAAGCTTTCTTCCTGAATCCGCTTCACCGTCAGGTTTTCCCGGAGAACCTGCCGCAGGTGGCGAAGGAGACTGAATATCCGGGACTAGACGTGTTTGTTCTCACTGCTGATCCGTTCAAAGAGCCGCCGGTGGCGGTGGTTAACACCGCCTTGTCTGTGTTGGCTTTTGATTATCCGACGGAGAAGCTGTCGGTATATGTGTCGGACGATGGTGGGTCACAGCTTACACTGTTTGCGTTCATGGAGGCTGCTAAGTTTGCCAAATATTGGTTGCCCTATTGCAGAAAGTATAAGATAATGGACAGATCTCCCCAAGTTTATTTCGGAAAGAATCCATCATTGTTTCCAGAAACGAAAGATATCCAGGTGCATGTCTTATCAACTTAATAATAATATAATGATTATTTAGAATCATAAATAATATATTTTTTTTAAATTTATTTAAAAATCTAAATATTATAATGTATATAATAATAATCAATTTCAAATTCTTTTAATTCAATATATTATATATTTTTACCATCTATGTTAATATATCGTATTATTAGATATCTATTTTGATTATATTTTGAAATATTATAATTGATTAATTATTCAGCTATCAGCTAACTTATCAGCTAGTTGCCAAACATAGCCTTAAACCACAAAAATAGGTTGCCTTAACTTGGTTCAACCAGTTTAAACCATCTTATAGTTTTTTTTTTTTTTTGAAATATATGTTTGTTTTTGGTCTCGTTTGTTTTGTTGTGGTGAAGATTGATCGTGAATGTTAGCCAAAAATGTACCAATCTAGTGTGTTTTGTTGGGTAATGTAGAGGATGTTTGAAAAGATGAAAGACACGATTCAGAACGTGGTAGACCGAGGGACCATTGATGAGGATGAAATCAACGATGATCCTGCAATCAAAGCTTTCGCCAAATGGACCCGTGAATTTACACGTCACCAACATCCTACCATTATTGAGGTACTCTTAATTTAATTACCAACATATATTATATGACTTATTGTTGCAATAAGTTGTTACAATGATATTGCTTTTATTGTAAATAGGTTTTATTGAAAAATGACGTGGATAAAGACGTTAAAGGTCATGATATGCCCAATCTCATTTATTTCTCTCGCGAAAAGGATAAAGCTACCCCACACCATTTTAAGGGAGGTGCCCTTAACTCCTTGGTAAATTAACTCGATCGTCTCTTAAAACAAAATCGGTTTTATATCATGCTAAAAATATCAACCACAAGGGTGGTGCCTGATTGGTTTGAGTTTGGCTCCAAAAAAGTATCAGGAGGTCTCAGATTCAAATCCAAAGAGGAATAAAAATCCTTTTATGGCCACGGTGGTTCAAATGCGCTGACTCCGGATTATCTGTAAAGCAGGTGGTCGTCCTAGGATTAGTCGGCTCGCATAGCGGGTTGCATATCCAGGTTAATCAATATATATATATATATAGACTTAAATTTATATGATCAAATAATTATACGTTCTATATGAAAGTTTTACAATAAAATGTTATAACTAATATGTATAGAAGAAACTAATATGTATAGAAGAAACTAATATGTTGTTTTATTTCAAAATTGTTCTAAAAAACTTATTGGAACTGCTGAAAGTGTCCTGTCAAGTTTTTTTTAACATGTTCATATAGAACGTAAAATTGTTTGATACTATAAACTTAAGTTCAATTAAGCAGTCTAATAGGATACTTGAACACAATATGATATCCTATAAAATTGATTTTGTTGCAGTGGTGCGGTGACTTTTGAGTAGTGCATGATGATTTAGCATTCGTCCCCAATTATAATTTAGTCGAGCATCGTTTTTTGTAGATTCGAGTGTCGACCATCTTGACAAATGCACCAATATTCCTCACCGTGGATTGCGACATGTACTCTAACAATCCAAAAACGCCACTTCATGTGCTATGTTTTTTCTTGGACCCTAACGTTGATCCGAAGCTCGCATTCGTCCAATTTCCTCAACGCTACCATAGTATCAACAAAAATGACACTTATGGTGCTGAATTTTTGCTCGAGACACAAGTATGCCCTCTAGGAATGGATAGTTGGGGGGGCACGCTATTCATGGGCACCGGCGGCTTCTTTAGAAGACAAGCGCTCCTTGAAGACGCTACAGAGCCACTACGGCTATGGAACGAACCAATTGATGAATCGGGTGATGTTTTGCAGTTAGCACATCGTGTCGCAAGTTGTAACTACGAAAAAAACACTAAATGGGGTCACGAGGTACCCTTTTTTTTCCTTCACAAATTTGGGACTTTTTTTAATAGTTTCGCAAGTTTGGCCAATAATCTTCATATTTGTCTATAATAAAACTAATTTTATATATAGGATGCCTAAAATATAGAAGCGTCCTAGAAGATGCTTTATAGAACTTAAGTTTATATGATTAAACCAAAAAATGTATGTCTAAAAGTGTAACAATAAGTTTATAGGACGTTTTTATGTATTTTAACAAGTTTTTGGAACACTTTTAACATAAAATATCATATTAACTATTTTATACGACATTGTTTGAAAAAAAGTGTCTTATAAATAAAACACAACACTGTTAAAAGATGGGTTCATAGAACACATCTCAAAACTGTCATATAAAATAGCTAATAGAACACTTTTTTTTAAAAGTGTGATAAAACTTGTTAAAACTCCTAAAAACGTCATATAAATTTATTTCAACGTTTTTTTAGTTTGGTCTTGAAACTTATGTTCTATAAAATATTCTATTAAGACGCTTAAACAATTTAGGCTCCTATAAAGCCAGTTCTGTTGCGGTGTCAACCTATAAAATCATGGTGGAATTTATAACAATTCACAACTTTGAGCTTATAAGAAGCTTACAAATCTAATTTTCTTACAATTTGGGATGTGTTGTAGCAAAAAATTTGCGACTCGTTAACTTGTGGTTATTACATAAATTGCAGATCGGGTTTAGGTACGGTTCGTTGGTTGAGGATATCTTCACGGGTTTCCGATTACATTGCTCGGGGTGGAAGTCCGTCACTTGTAACCCAACGAGAGCTGCCTTTTTAGGCAATACGCCGAGATCACTCCACGACTTTCTCTCTCAAATGAATAGATGGTATATGGGTATGCTTCAAATCGGATTGTCGAAATTTAGTCCGATAACCTTCGGAATGAAATTTCTGAATCCTCTCCATGCCTTGTGCTATTCCCATTACCTTTTTCGTGCCTTTTGGTCTATTCCGGTATTCGTCTACGCCTTTTTGCCCCAGATAGCGATCGTAAACTCTTCTCCGATATTCCCAAAGGTGCGTAGTCATTCGAGCATCCACAATGATAGACTTTTTATTCAAAGCTTCTTCGAAAAAATGGGACCCACATGCAAAAAAAGAATATGTTTTTTGTTTTTGTTTTTCTACGAAGAGTTTTTTTAAAGCTTAGATGGCCAAAAAGCAACCGATAAATGTCGATTGTGGGTGCTCTACTGCTTTATTTGCTAAGCGAAGTTGATTAACCTATTTAAAGAAATTTATATACAGGTTTCGGACCCTTGGTTTTCTTTATACGTATTCCTATTCGTTGGAGCGTATGGGAAAGAACTTATCGATTACGTGATGGCAGGATCGGGGTTCAAACGATGGTGGAATCACCAAAGACAGTGGTTGATAATGGGATGCTCAAGTTACCCATTTTCGATATTCGATTGGTTGCTTACTTCCCTGGGCATGTCGATATGTGATTTCAACGTGACGAATAAGGCTTCAAACAATGAGATAAGCAAACGTTACGAGCAAGGGTTTTTTGAATTTGGAGTGGAATCATCGTTATTGCTAGCGGTGAGTTTAGTAGCGGTTGTCAACATAATCGCGTTTGTGATGGGAATAAAGCAAGTTTTGATGAACACTCATAGGTTCGAAGAACTTTTTATGCAGCTATTTATAGCAGGGTTTGGCGTCGTGAATAGCTTGCCGGTATACGAAGGCTTGGTGTTAAGAAGTGACAATGGAAAGATACCGATGAAGATTGGGTTGAAATCGGTTTGTGTTGCTTTGGTTGTTTACTGGATGTTCTCTTGGGCATTTTAACACACACCTTCCATGTAAATGGTATGGTATGGTATGCTGTGTGTTAATTCCATTAATTGGTGAAAAAAATTCATGTAGCGAAAAGGGTGAAAAAGTATTCAGTTGTCTCAGATGAAGATCGATGGTGACTTTTATTTGTGTTCGTATATTATTTTCATCTTTTAAACCGACTTAAAGTCGGGATTGTTGATAATCAACTTTTTATCGATATTTTCAAAAATTACCTTTTCGGAGTTTTAAATGATTTAGAAAAGATGATAGTGGTGGGACCCAAGATGAAATCATGGATGATAATATGGTGGGAAAATGTTAAATAGAACGTTATGTGAATATTTTATAACGATGATATATATGATTGTTCATACCAACTTATACATGTATCATGTATGTGAAAGTTATGGACTTATATTATTTGTTCACATATATATATCGTCAAACTTTTGGAGTTTCTAGGTGGCATGTTTAAACGAATTCCACGTTTCGGAAGGTGGGTTTTTCTTGCATGCGTTTCTCTTTCCTTGGAGCATACGGAAAAGATTGTCTTGATTTTGTGGTGTTCGGTGGATCAACCATGCAAAGGTGGTGGAGCTACCAAAGAATGTGGTTGATATGGGGTCTTTCTGGCTACCCATTTGCATTGCTCGAATGGTTACTCAAATCCATCGGCATATCGACATTCGGGTCTAAAATATTAGGTTCATGAGGTTGGGTTGGGTTAGTTTTGGTTCAAATGATCAAAACCCAATTCCAACCCGATATTTACGGTTTAAAGATCTTACAATTCAAATCTCGCGTTGGGTTAGGTTAATCGAGTTTTTGAACACCCCTACTTAATGATATGCGACAAGCCGACAACCTAAGTGGTTAGAGTATATTAATTTGAGCAAATTTAGTTTTTAATATGAAGCCAAACTTTAACCTATAAATTTAGGACAAATTACATAAAAAAAAAAAAAAAAAGTAACATTTGATTAGTATATAAATAGCTTAGACCAGATATGAAGACAACATGACCAAATCTTTATTGGCAAATAATAGCCAACAACCTAATCAACAATCAATCAATGTCTACAAATGGTTAGAAAACCGAATCGAATTTGAAGCTATCGAAATCAATCAACATACAATAGATAAGGGTAAAACAACCATCATACACTTATTTTAGCGGTATTGCCAAACATCGTTTTTTGTTGTTTTGTGTCAAATTTAGAAAACTTAATGATGGGAATCGAAATTTAACTAATATTAAAAAAAAGGTCTTAAAATACTATAGAGCTAAATTTTATTCTTTTGGGAATAAAAAATAAATTGAAATAAAAAGTAAATTTATAACGTTAAGAAAACAAAAATACTGAAATTGGCGGTCAAGTTACTCGAACCTTCTAATGTCTTGTCCTGTAACCACATATTCAACAGATTTTTTGAAATACTGAAAATAAGATTTTGTTTTAAATTATTTTTTAGAAATAAAGAAACACTTTAATTTTAAAGAATTTTTTAAATTTTTTGAGAAAAAATAAATGTTTTTATTCATTCCAACCAATAAGATTAAAAATTATTAGTATGTTATATAAATATTTAAATGATTAACAAGTAATTGAATAGTTTAGTTATTGATACTTCTACTACGACAAAAATCAAAAAACGCAAACGTTACTTTAACCTTTAAATGATGATTTTAAAAGTTGATTTTTCAAAATAAAAATTAAAATGAAATTGGTTTTATTTTATTACAATTTTTTCTTTTTAAAAGTATAAAAATTCGCTAATATCGTGTTTGTTATCTAGAATAAAACTATATATTATTATTATACAGATAAAATTCAACACGACTCTTATTTCTTAGCGTTTGGTTGATTTTTATAACACTTTTTAAATATTAGATATTTTGTTGTGATAATTGTAAATGAGTTATTTCAATCCGCTTACGTTATTGGTATTATGATGGGACCATCGATATGTTGGGAACACCACTAAAAAAAAGGTATCACCGACGGATTTTTCTGGCGGAAATTCCGTCGGAAATATTCCCGACGGATTTCCGACGGTTTCGAAACTGGGTTTTTGGTTAGATAATACTTGGATAGATTTTAAGACCGTGTACTGGAAAGACACTTTTTAAATACTATTCTTTATCCCTTTTATGCCTTGGGTTTACATGAAATTGGTACCGGGATAATCCCGAAAGTTCATGCACAATTAAGGCACCAAATCACACACACACACACACACACACACACACATATATACATATATATATGTGTGTGTGTGTGTGTGTTCACCAGGTCACGTTTTATGTATTTATATGAGAGATCGACAATTACATGTTGTTAAACGTTTAAAATATAATTGTATTACAGTTATACTCGTTAATGAATAAGATATATGAGCAGTTATTTCAGGATGAGAGGTAAAATCCAAAAATCTAGTTTCAGGGTCCAAAGCTTTGATTGCTCTATGTCATACTTGGTCAAAATTTTATGGTCCAGAACTTTGATTCTAAGGTCTAGAGTTATGATTCCTCTATCTCTGATCAAGACTTTGTCAAATTTCAATGATAACTCAAGACTCTGATCAAAAGGACTAGAGTTCTGATCACACTACCTCAGAACTATACTTAGTGAAATTCCACCAAGTTTGAGAACAATTTCATGGAGGTTTCCAACATTCTAAAATTAGTCTAGATCATCTCAAAATATAAAAATCTCCAAGTACGACTCTTTATAAACTCCGTAAACCACTACCAGGGACGGTGCCCCCTTGACCCCCGCCTTTCGATGATCTAGGTGATAGCGATAATCATTTGTGAGTATGCACTATGCACCTCCTAACTCACTTTGTTTGCCTTCTATTATTATATTCAAAAAAATTATTATATTTGTATCCCAGTCAACTGGATCTGGCATGCATATAAAAGGACTCGGTTGTAAGAGTTATCGCTCAATTGAGCTTGTCAAAGAACATAAATTAGGGCTTTAAAGAAAAGGTTATTGGGTCTAATCTTTATTTTTTTCTAGCAAACCTAATATAACAAACTCTATCTTTCTTTTTGCAGGTTTAATAACCTTCCCTTATCCATCCACTAAACGGATCAGACTGTCTACGACTAACGGATCTTAAAATATTTTTCGAATTGTTAAGATTTTTTTACGAAATCACAATTCTTATGAAACAATAATTTCATTTGAATTAATTTCTTGACACACCTCTAGATTAGATGTACACATAATAGGAAATTATACTTAATTTTGTTTGCATGATTTTAGATCAATTGCATTTGCAACCCACCCATAATTTTAAAATAATTATTTTAATAATTTTTTCTTCTCGTCGAGTACTGATCTTATTTTTATCTTCTCGGTCTTTTAAAAATAATTATTTTAATAATTTTTTGTTGATTGGAGTGGCCTCCCCCTCTATATAAAAAGAAAGCTACACAAAGAAACAAACCATAAAGCTACACAAACATCCATTTACATGAACAAATCGAAAGCGACACCCAATTATTTATCCACCACAAATTTGTTTCAAAATTCTTTATTTCTCGTCGACTTTACTGACTTTACTGGGCCACAAGATTATAATCACTATCACTTTCACGACGTCAAAACAAACAATCGCAGTAATTTGTTATGAAATCACTAAACTCGCACAAAAAGTGAAACTTATTATTCGAATATTTAAACACGCAAATAAAAATTGCATAAACAACATGAATTAATTGAGACAAAAATATATTTGGTATAAAAACTTGTTGTCTTACGTTTGACATGATATTATATTGAGAAAAAGCAGATTGAGACAAAAAAAACCCATCAAAACAGGTGAAACATAACCTTTGGTGGAGTAACTTTTCGGGTTAGCTCAACTATCAATAAGACGTGGGTCTTCAGGGATTTTTCCCAGAGGTCACCGGTTTGAATAAAAGTCCACTAGAGATTTTTTAGCCTGTTCTTCAGGGTCGTAGGATTAGTCGAGATGCACAGAAACTAGGTTGGGCATTCACGGTTAACAAAAAAGAATAACCATGGACAGAGCCAAAAGTGACATTGACTTCGTTCAAACTTCTAAAATTAATGGAAACCTCAATTATCCATTTAAAACTTTACTTATCCTTATCAAAATCTTCTTTTTCTTCCTTTATGTATATCATGTTTCTTAAAGATTCTAAAATAAACATGTTATTTAACTAAATACACAGTTTTTTTACGATAAATTTTTATTTATTTTTCAAATAGCTTTTCCTATTTGTATGGTTACCTACACAAATTATATAGGGAATGGTTCAAACGAGAACACCTTCATTTTACGAAAACATGAGAACACTCTTTTACTATAGACAATCACATGTGATACTATTATTCCATCATATATGATACACATGTGATACTAAATCAGAGACGTATGCAATTTTCGATACGATCTTGGTTGCGGGCCAAGTCGCCCTTACACTACTAAGCCCCCTCACAAGTATTATCAAATGTGATAAGGGTGTTGTTGTCTTGTTAATATGACTAGTTGTGTATCCGCGCAATGCGGCGGGAGCCATGAATTTTAACGATTTTGAAGTTTCACTGATTTTATAAGATAAGATTTAACAATGATATATGTTACACTTGGTCTTTACATATTAATACAATTTGAATACATAATAGTTATGGTTCCAATTACAGACTATCGATGAAAAAAATTATATGACAGTTTAAAATCCAATATATTTAAAATCCAACATATTTAAACGACTCTACAAATGTGTTCGATTTACACCAAGAACAAATAACCAAGAAACTTGAGTTTTAAGATAAACACTCAAAACCAATAAAGAAAATTACAAATTTGACAAATCATAAGTTATGAAAAGACAAAAAAAATGGGTTTTAGAATGAAATTTCAACTGCTTACCATCTTTCTTGTCCAGAAACTCAGATTAAGGTTGAATTAATACATGTATATATA